CGTGCTAGTCTCAAACAGTGATGTGCGAATAATGCAATTTTGACCGCTTTGTAGGTGACCTACTGTCCTGACTGTGGAAGAGCATGCAAATACGATATGGAGGCTATAGTTGGAGACAAGGAAGTAGTTAGAGGCCGTGACTTTTACAATTATGTCTTTGGTTGTCTCTTTTTGAACGAAACAACTCATGTTAGCCCATTGTAATTGAGCTATAGAGGGACCAAATAGAATGGTAAGGATTGCGTATCGGCAGTTTTGGGCCATCAAATCCACAAATTATTCCCTTATGTCTTGTACAATGGAAAAGTTGTAATCTAATCCTTCCGCATAACATGCTGGATTTTGAAAAAGAGTTAGAGCTTTGTTTTGATAGATTTATTCACAATTGTTATGTACAAGTGTAATGCTTCGTGTCCATTTTCCCTCCCAAATTCTCTCCCCAAAACTAAAGTAAATGAAAGGGAGAGAATTACAAATATGCACGTCTAGAAAAAGTGATGAAGCTCCAAGCTACTTGCTTGGTTCAGATGAGGATTGTGATTGACTTCTGAGCGTTGGAATCTTCTTTTGTAATTCAAGATTGGACATCCGCTCAGTCTCCAATGCTCGTTCAAGCTTTAATATCACAAATCGCCATATTCGTTAGCAAAAAATTTCATGGCAAGAAAAATGATAAGCCAACTACATTGACTAAGTGTAGCTATTCACAAATAACTTAAGGAGGGACGATAATACCTTTGCTGCTCGGGTACTCCATTCTCCTAAAATGGCTCTCAATCTTTCATTCTCCTCTACGTACTGTTCAAATATTAGTTAAAATGGGTAGGAAACCGAAGAATTGAGAAAAACTATGCAATACAAGAATCTAACTGCATAAACATGAGGTTTGATTCACAGGATTTTTAGGGTTTCGGGCAGATATTAACCAAATATTTAATTTTGAACATTAAGAGTTAATACAGTAGGATACCTGATTGTTGGTCATCCGAACTTTCTGGATTTCAGAATCCCTCTCAGCTATCAACGACCGAGCAAGCCTTAACTCAGACTGCAATTGATTCATCTGCAATGTAAATATATCTCTGAGTTAACTATTAACGTTGATTATGTGATGTAGAAGACAACAACATATGAAACATTCAAATTCATTCTGATGATATCAGCTAACTGCATCAAACTAACAACCTTTGATTTTTCATAAAGTATCAAGAGCAAAACCCACTTGGTATTCAAACCAGGTATTACCTCAGCAGAAACTGTCCGTAGTTCCTGATCACGAGCTGCCAATAGATGGGCAAGGTCAACCTGCAAAAACAGACACTGGTAAGCATTGCTCTGATCATTTTTCATATAACAAATAGCATGAAACAAGATCACTGCTTAAATTACTATGGCAGGCATGCAAGCAAGCATGCAGTCCTAAAATATGCATGTCCATGTTAGAAATCACTTCAAGAGCTTTTCCTATTCAACAGAGTACTTCAATAATAGAAATTAATTACCTGAGGTGTGCTTCCATCATTAGTCCGTTCATAGTTACTTAAGCACTCTTGCAATCGAAGGATCTATACAAGTTTAGAATAAGAATAAATAATACAATAATAAAAAGTCGACTAGAAAAAACTTAATATGCAACATGGAACACCTAATTTCCCATGCCACACTTCAGTGACTAAAAGCATTAGTCGAAAACTTGAAGGAACTGCATGTTAGAAGATTCAGTGCACTAATACAACCACCAATCTCAATAATACATCATGAGATACCTCTTCACTCAAAAAATGAAGGTTTTCACGCTGATATTGCAACAAAGCCATCTGCTGATCAGAGAGTCGACCAGCATCATGATACCTGTCACAAGTTATTGCATCAGTTTTAATTGAAGTATTAATGCATATGCCTCTTCGCATGTGCACAAGCAAAAGAAACTTCTTCCCTTAGGATGCATGAAATATAGCAGTTTCCAGTTCATCCAAGTATCTTTGGTTATGCACTGTTAGAAATTCTTGTGATGTATCTCTCTTCCATTCTTATAAAGGTTGGAAGCAAGATTATAGGATATCACTGGAAAAAAGAAAAAGCAAAAAAAAGATGATTACCTCAAACCTTCCAAAGAACTTGAGGGTTGAAGAGGAGAATATAATGACTTTAAGACATCAGGCTGGGAATTTAATGAGTTGTACTGGTGAACATAACCTGGAAACACCGGAATTAAAATGAGATGTGACTACAATCAATACAAGAGCTCATGTTCTGCATATAGGTGTGCTTGTTGGAGCTCTACTTTGTGCAAGATATGATACAAATACAGGATTAAGTACAATGTTTGAGTGCAAGGATAACTTTTTCACATAACCAGCATGAAATAATTGTATACCAAATGCCCTGTGAATCTAATTCATTGAAATTCCATCCAGTAAAATGGAAGAATTTTAAATCTCTTGGGCATAAAATTAGGGAATAAAGAGGCTTTTCAAATCACCTAAATAAGGTCTGATTAAAAAACAATCCCTTATTTGATCCAAAAAAAAGAATCCCTTATAAGACAGGATCCCATATTAAGCCTCCACTCTCCAGCATGACAACCAAGAAAGTTCCCCAAGTAAGCTAGCAAGTAACCCGATAAATACTTCAAACTTCGTAATTAAAATGCACCTCCCAAATGCACACAAACTCACCAATATAGATACTCATAAAAGATCCGGCACATATTGCTTCAATTACCATAACAGTCCTGCAAAATTTAAGGGTAATCAATATTCAGTCATGGGCCAATTCATAAAAATAGTTTTCATATCAAATTTATCCAACCAAAGTCCACACGACATCTTGATTTCCTGGGCCAGAATTTGAAATCATTAATGTTGTTGAAATCATGGATTTGAAAAGGGGTAAAGAAACTGGAAAGGAGATAACAGATACATATTCTAATTAAGAAATGATTATGCTCAGCATCATAGGTTGGTGTTGATACCTCAAAATTGCGGGCAGAGTAAGGAAACTGATGTGGGGTCTCCAGACCATGACAAGTAACATTGCAGCAGTTCCTAACATTCAAGCAATATATCAGAAACCAAATTCAAATAATAATGATAATAAAAATATTTTCAGGGAGAAAATAACAGCAGAAAAATAATAGGTAGACATATTTCAAGATGGAGGGGGAAAAAACAGACCAAAGAAACAACTCAAACACAAACCGGCATACCATATGAAGTAGCTGCAAAAGGTAGGCGAACAATATGCTTCAACTTCTGGCTGAAACTATAATACCCCTGTGAAACAATGTGCATCTCGTGGTTAACAAACCAAGTAAGTTGTAGCTTATGTAACAGCAAAATTTAGCACCCCAACACAAAAAATACTACCGGACAAGTAATACTGAAACAGGAGTGCAGTTTAGAAGCTGGATCCATTTAATAAGTTTATCAGAGTCACTCCCACTCGGAATATGCAATTCTGAAACTCGGGGGAAGATTAATCCCCCATAAACTAACTTTTGGTGTTGATGACACTTTTGCACCAACATAAACTTTCAGTTCAAAGGGTGTAGCTACCCGGAAGTTGTATTTGTGTATAATGTGGGTTCCATCCTAGGAAATAGAAAACTAATTAATCAAAAAGGTTACCTGTAAGCGTATCTTATGAACTTGGTATACCAGATACTGCTGAAAGATGCCTGAAAACGTTAAACACAAGCTCTAGTGCATCAAAGATTCAATTTTGATGTGTAAACAGTAAAATTCGCTATAATTGAACAATTCCCAGATCAAAAATTACAAAAAACCTGTGACTATCAGAAGAAGGACGTTGCAACTACAAAGCAATTGTGGGATTAAATCGCGTATGGGATGAAAAATCCATGGAGCTGCGACAGCCAGAGAAGCATAGCCTACGAGTATAATCAAGTAAAAAACACTTCCGAAAAGGCTTCTCGACTTCCGGTGACCGAACAATGGAGCCTCATGCATTATATCCAGAAACCTTAAAGTGAAGCAATGGAAGCAAAAACAGTGATTTTTGAATCAGGTAGCAGAAGTGAACACATTCACGCATTGTGTGGCAATCACAACGAAGATTGAGGAAGACTTACAGTGCGTTGTCCTCGGGAGACGTTGAGGGCAACGAAGCGTTCCTCTCTCTCTCTGTTGACATTTCTGATCACAGATTTCTCAATTTCTATGTGAATTACGATCTCTCTTTCAAGTTCGATCCTTTATAAAGGAGGAAGTTCAGTCTCTCAGACTCTCTCAGAGCTTGCTCGTGAATACTTGTTTATTAATTGATAAATTAATTAATAATCAATTAAATAATGTTATTTAGTAAAAAAAAATCACTTTAAATCCTTATAGTTTGTAAACTACAAGAGAGAAGAATTTCTCACAAACACACACAATTATAATGTCGTGGTAATTCGAACATGAATAACCTGTAAGTAAGGCCCTTTTTCACTAGTTAAATTCCATTTGCATCATTATAATTTTAAAACCAACCAATTCAAGGACACCTTATAAAATTTGGGCACAAAATTTGACATAATGTGATAAATTGACAAACTACGTCAACCAAAATTAATTTCTTATCAAATAAAACTACATGAATAAAATTGACAAAATTAAAACCTACGGACTAAAGTGTTAAATCGATGACAAACAACATGGAGCAAAATTAACTTTTTGCCTAGTGTTTAAGTGTCAAAGCATTGGGCTCAATATTTGGCCCAAAGAGCCACAGACCAAGTCTCAAAGATTGGTAATGTTACCTTAACCGGTCGGTGAGACAAGCTCCAACTAAAATCCCCAGTGATAAACCCTAAGGCAGAGCTATCACAGCTTCAGAAAAATGAGCCAAATTTCAGGCTTTTTGCTTCGTCCTCCATTTCTGGTTTTTGGGTTTTCCTTCATTTCATCTTTTATGTATTGTTCTGATTAATTTCTCCCTAACTTTTCAATGAGGGTTTGGATTGCTATGCTGACATTGTTGGGTTTTTCGTCATCTCCATGAAGACTAAGGATCCGAATCGAAAACCCAATTCGATTTCCGGGCGACCTGTAAGAAAACCTGGTCAAACGAATCAAACCCAGACAAGGATTGTGATTGAGAATATCTACGAGAGCAGAGCTGAGCCAAGTGATGGCGTGGCGGTGCAGATGACCCTCTTGTTCTTCACAGCCCGTCCCACCTTTTGGGTTCGAGCCTCCAAGATCGCCATTTCCCATTTCCACAGTCTTTCCCATGGAGGAGCTCGACCTCAAATAGAGGTAATATCAAACCCAGAGGCTTGGTTTGTTAAGGTTGTTTGCACTCTCTTTGTTCGCTCGCATGCTTTGGATTCGTACTTGGGTTATCTTAGTAAGAACTTGACGCCTTCTATTGCTTTCGAGGTTATTAGACGGCTAAACCATCCGAAACTGGGGTTGAAGTTCTTTGAGCTTAGTAGGCTCAGTTTGAGTGTTAACCATAGTGTATGGACGTACAATTTTCTTTTGAGGTCTCTATGTCAAATTGGTCTTCAAGATTCTGCTAAGTTGGTGTTTGATTACATGAGGAGTGACGGTCATGCGCCTGATGATTCGATTGTAGAACTATTGGTATCATCCTATGCCCAAATGGGCAAGTTAAATAACGCTGAGAAACTTCTTGATGAGGTTCACTGTGGTGAGGTTAGATTGTCGCCTTTTGTGTACAATAACTTGTTCAATGTGTTGGTTAAGCAGAATAAAGTAGAGGAGGCTGTTTGCTTATTTAGAAAGCAAATGGGTTCGCATTGTCGTCCAGATAGTTGGACTTTCAATATTCTAATTCGAGGTTTATGCAAAATTGGAGAAATTGATAAGGCTTTTGAGTTTTTCAGTGATATGGAGAGTTTTGGTTGTTACCCTGATATCGTTACATACAACACACTAATTAGTGGACTTTGTAGGGCTAATGAGGTAGATAGAGGGTGTCATTTACTCAAGGAGGTTCAGTCAAGAATCGAACTTTCACCGGATGTTATAACTTTTACGTCAGTCATATCAGGCTACTGCAAATTGGGTAAGATGGAGGAGGCCTCTGTTCTTTTTGATGAGATGAATAATTCTGGAGTTGGACCAACTTCTGTTACTTTTAATGCATTGATTGATGGATTTGGTAAGTCTGGTAACATGATTTCTGCACTTGCTATGTATGAGAAAATGCTCTTTCATGGTTATCGTCCGGATGTTATAACCTTCACTTCCCTAATTGATGGCTATTGTCGAGCTGGGAAACTGAGTCAGGGATTAAAGCTTTGGCAAGAGATGAATGCAAAAAATGTATCTCCCTCTGCATATACGTTCTCTGTCCTTATTAATGCTTTGTGCAAGGAGAATAGACTACAGGAGGCACATGAGTTTCTGAGGCAATTGAAGTGGAGTAATGTCATTCCACGACCGTTTATATATAACCCTGTGATAGATGGATTTTGTAAGGCTGGCAATGTTGATGAGGCAAACCTAATTGTAGCAGAGATGGAGGAGAAGAGATGTAGCCCTGATAAAGTGACATTTACCATTCTCATACTCGGGAATTGTATGAAAGGGAGAATGTCAGAGGCAATTAGCAACTTTAAAAGGATGTTGGCGATTGGATGTGCCCCAGACAACATCACTGTAAATTCTTTGATATCTTGCCTCATGAAGGCTGGGATGCCTAATGAAGCCCATCACATTAAGAAAATTGCATATAAGGATCTGAAATTGGGTATGTCACCTTCGCGTAGAGCTGATCATTTGAGAGCAAATGCAAAAATTACAGTGGCTGTTTGATTGAAGCTGCTCTACCACAAAAGTGGAATTGGAACACTGCTTGCAGTGGTTGGACAAGATCCTCCCACAATGGTAGTTCAAGTATCAGAATGAAGCATGGGCAGTTTGTGACACAAATGAGTCGACAACTAGTAAGTGCTTTGCCCATGTTCATTTTTAGTCGAGACTGTATATTAGCCTTGCCATACAACTTTTGCTCAATGATACAATTCTTCGATAGGCCAGCCCTACACTCCGCAAGGTTATACTTGTTCATGTTCCGGCTTCTCAGCCACCATGGATCTAGTGTCATGGCAAGGCAAAGGGAAGTGGGAGGGAGGAATTACAAAGCTTCATAAGCTGAACAAATCACTTCGCATAGAATAATTTTTGTGCATACTTGTCTATGTTAATTACTTCAAACGTATCAGCAAGTGCGTATGTCATAATTGATTTGCACGTCTCGTTTCATATTGAAGGCTTGCAAATGATTCTTCCAAATTATGCAAATCATTGCCACCAGCACCGAGGATGCTTTGCCGCGTTACCCGAGAAGTTGCTGTTGTATGAATTTCATCTCATTGAATCTAATATCTCACAAAATATGTACTCTCAGCTATTTCTTTTCTTTTTGGCTTTTAAGTTTAGATTCACGGTGCAGTGTTGTCAGTTCTGGATTTAAACTTTGTGCAATACATAAATTGGAAGGAGTGAAATAAAGGATTAAAGTTAACCATGACAACGGAAGCCTAATGAAAGGAAATTTTTTTATTAAAGAAAAAGATGATGGATCTCCCAATAGGGTTTCCTAGAATTGGTGATTCTGGTTGAAGCCAAAATCAGGATTTTAGGATGTCCGGAGGGCAGATGCAGATACAAATTAAAATTAAACACTGATGGTTGTAGATCTGAGGATGGAGCCATTGGAGCTAGGGCGTTGTTAGAGATTACTCCGGTGCTTGGCTTGGTGGTTTCTCTGCAAACATGGGCTTTTGGGCAAGTTCTGCAAGCTGAATTATGGGCTCTTTACCATGGAATTGTTTTGGTGTGCCACAAGGAATGGTTCCCACTTGATATTGAATATGATTCTCAAATTGCCGTGCGAATGCTTTCTTCAGAGTTGGTGGAAGAGCATCCATATTACAGTTTGGTGACTAGTTACCAGAAGATGCTTAGGTCCAAAGATTGCAATTTTTCTCATAAATATAGAGAAGGAAATTGCCTTGCGGATAAATTGGCAGCTCTGATCTCAAAACTAGATTTGGGGTGTAGTTTTTGGGAGGGTGTGCCTGAAGGGTTTGGACATTATCTACTGGAAGATTTGAGTGGAGCTGCTAGACCTAGAAGTTTGTTTATGGGCTTCAACTCCTTTAGAACCAAAAAAAAATCAGAATTTTATCAAGCCAAAGAAAAAATATATAGATATCAGAATTTTACAACTTATTGGCCTAACGATCTTAAGTTGCTTGCGATAGTGGGAACTTGACTTTGTTGTTCTTGTGACCCTTCATCTTAAAAGGAAAAATAAATTGAAATGAGAAAAGCAAAGTCTGTCAGTCATACTTTGCAATAATCCAGATGGGTATTATCGTGAGGAAACATGAATATCAGCTTAATTTACTTTTCTAAAGGATTAAATTCCATGACATATAAACTGCATCCAGCATTAAATTAAACAATACTAGATTGATATCTTTTGGTGTAATAGATAATTTAAACAGAGGTCTTTGTTGCTTATCATTACACTGGCCGTAAATAAGTCTTGTATCTTATTTTGTGCAGCAAGACTGAAACATTACAATCACCATTCAAGAATAACCCCTCTTCATCTTCAAGCTGGAAACCTACTACTCCATCAGTACAACATCCCAGACTGCAACAAGATGAATTTTGTATTACATATCCACAGCAAGGCCACCATTTCTTCCAATTCAAGCAACAATCGGGTACGATGCACATGTTGCAACACCTGCAATCCAGATCATCGAAATCAATAAGACTCTGCACCTCAATTCCCAGCCAAGAACATAATCCAAAGTTAACCGGAAAACTTACCGCACATGTTCTTCCCAAACTCCATCTTAAAGTAGCCGTTGTCACCCCAGCTTTCTCCCCAAGAGTTCTTGATGAGCCAGAAGGGGACACCGCCTTCCTCTCCATACCCAACTGCAAGAACAGCATGGTTCACATCCTGCCAAACAAAAGATAGGAGATCAATTAGGTTAACATTTTACTTAATTTGATAAATAAGCATAGATTAAGGCTACTCTGCCTCATTCACCTAATCAGAAATTAAAACTCACCATGGGACTGCTGCCACAAGTGTCACTGGTGTAGACTCCTGACTTGTAAAATCGGAAGCTTTTGACCACCTGAAAGGCGACGCTGACTGGCCGCACAAACGCAACTGCATGCTTTAGTTCTTGTTCATCACCCTGCATAATTTTCCCTATAACAATTAGAAGCTGCGCTCCTTCAACTTAAAACATCTCAAAAGTACTTATATCAACTACTTCAGTCGGATTAGCGTGTCGAAATAACAAGTTCTTTAATTTTTCTTTTTTCACTCCTACTAGGCTTACCAGGGTGATATTGACAGAGTCGAGCACTTGGACACCAACATTTTCAGCTGAAAATTTGCAAGCCCCGTCGGTTCCAACGTAAGGATATGCAGCCTCGGTGTCGAGACCGCCATTGTATTTGATGTACTCAAAAGCTTGAGATGGCAACCCACCATGGCAGCCAAAGTTATTGAAAGCTCCAGCACAATCCACAAGCTGCTGCTCAGAGAGAGAGATTTGCTTTCCGAATGCCTGCACATAAGCTGCCTCAAGAGCCCCAGTGGTGCTGCAGCAGCCACATATTTATGTTAAACACTAGAAGCACTTAATTAGCACACATTTTATTCAACTATGATCTAAAAGTACTTAAGCTAATTAAACTAACCTGAATGTCCAGCAAGATCCACAGTGACCTTGGTCTTTAACTGGGGTCACTATGCCTTCTTCTCTCCAGTTTTTCTGTACACACACAGAGACAAATATAATACAAGAATTTGAGACCTGGGTTTTGACTGTCCATTTTTAAAATAAAAATAAAAAATAAATAAAAAAGCTTAAGCTTTTAGTATACCGATTCAGGAAGAACGGCATCAGTGAGCTCGTGGCTGCCCTTTGTGGTGGCAGAGCAGTTCTGGGCAGCTCCCAACCTCTGCCTTCTGAACTCTTCCCAACTCCAATCAGCAAAACCTGAAGCGCCATCGATTCATCGACGCAACCACACAATCAAAACCCAATCCCAAATCCCAAAATACTACTCTATTCTCTTTATTATTATTATTATTATTATTATTATTATGAACTAAAAACAGAGTAAAAATTGAAAAGGGTGGCTTCAGAATATTATTACGATTGACAGCAAGAGTGTAAGGCAAGCCCTTCATGTTTGTGGATCGAATCAGCTTCTTATTCTCCGAGAAAATCTCATACCGCAGCTTCATCTCCTCCACGCTCTCATACTTCTTCCCGTACCTTCATTAACACAAACAAAAACAAAGTTAATTAACTAAAACGACAGCTCATGACTTCAGAAACGAATTCAATCTCTGTTTCGATGGGACGGTGATGAGGGACGGAGTGCTGGGTGTGGGAGGCCCACTCACCGGTGAGCGAAGCGGGCGAAGTGGAGGGCGCGGCGAGAGTTGCCGAGGACTTGGACGACTTGCTGCTCCAGCTCACGGAGGCCATCCGATACCAATCTGATGGGGTTGGACTCGTCGAAGCTCGATGCTGCTGCGCCGCAGCTGATCGCCACCAGGACCAAGGCGGCGGACAAGACCAGCGTCACGCGAGCCATTGTTGTTGTTCTCCGACAACCGTGGTATGTTGGAGGAGAGAAGATCGATGGAGATTCTTGTTGTTGAATATTTGAGGTCACGAGGCTCTCTCTGCTGCTGCGAATGCACTGATTGGGCTTCTTATTGTGCGAAGCTACCAATCAACAGTTGCCACGTTACTGTGGCTGCGGGTACCTTGGGCAATTCTATTACTTTACTTTTAGGCTTTTGGTTCCGTTGTTGATGACGTACGGCATGACCTGAAGATTTTTGGGCCGTTTCTGTTTGACGCTTGTATTGCAAACGCATTTTCCTTATTTATTTATTTATTTATTTATTTATAGTTTTGTTTAATTTACATTTGAAACATGAACATTGCATTTTTATTTACCAATTCACAAAACAATCACGATAAAACTATCGAATATCTTGTTATAAAATTAAAAAAAATCTTAAAGGTGATTTACAATATTAGATATCATATGAAGTGAATGTAAAAGTGTATCTAGTTTGGTTTTGTTTGTGTGGATTTAATCAGACACCGAATTAATGTAACATCATAGTTTGGAATGAATGGTAAAGTTTTAAGCTTTAAATTAGTCACATAACCGAACCAAACTGATTCATTTAGTGGCCCGTTTGGTTTGGTATTATATGTCAAAGAAATTTATAGATGATGTGAAATTTAAATGTGCTAGAGATTTTAATTTTGTTGTTAAATAACTTATATCAATGTGCGTGTTGAAATATGATAGTAAATTGTGATAATCAAATTTTTTTTAAAAATACAATTAATATAGGCGGGTTTTCAATAGACCAAACCGAGTTGAACTCAATCAAACCAAACTAATTGTTGTTGAATTCAATTTACCTCAAAGTACACTATTTGTGTGTAAAACCAAATCAATGGGGCCAGATTTTTTATGTTAGATGTCTCTTACAACTAGTCCCCAAATTTATTTTTCAATTTGCTCCTACAGAAGCCAATAATGTTGCACATATATTGGCAAGGTTTGGTTTGGTTTGGTTAAGGAGTATTCTTTGTTTTGGATAGAAGTACTTCTGATTTTATTCAGGACGCCTGTTAGTTGGTTCTATGAATCTAAGTCAAGCTCCCTAATCCCCCATTTATATCTCTTGATTTTCAATATATGTTGTTTGTGCTTCCTTTTGGGAAATAAAATTACCAAATTAACCTTAAATGAAGGTGCCAATTTGAAGATATTTATGTAAATAATGCCGACTTGCCTAACTGCTCTCTCTCCCTCTCTACGCTCAATAATTGAAGCAGTTAAACTTTTGTTTGTTTTTATTGTCAAATTGATGGAATCAACCACCATCACTATTTTGTCCATCTTCAAAGAAGAGCCATTGATTTTACCCACACAAAAAAAAAAAAAAAAAAAATGGGACAGCGCGAAAATGATGTTGGATACCAAGGGGATGAAATATCATTGAGAATTGGGCCCAACAAGAGGGATTGGAGAACCTGTGTGCACCTACGAAATAAATATGTATCGAGACGTCATTAAAATTTCTAAAATTCCCAAAATCCAAAACAAAATCTATAAATAAATAAATAAAACCCAAGACTTTCAGTTTTCTAGGTGTTTTAGTCTAAGGTCCTGTTTGGTTCATGTAACGAATTTGAGGGGAAATCATTTCCCACGTTTGGTAATGCTGGAAAAGTAACTGAGAGATATCACTTTATTTCATTTCCTATGTTTGTTTTGAGTAGGAATGGAAAACGAAGTTTGTATAAATTTTAAATTATACTCATATTAAATCAAATAAAAAAATAATTAATTTAATGATATTATAATTCTAAATTGTTAATTGAGACAAAATGGTCATGAAAAATGTTTATTTAATATTGGCTTATTTCCCCAAACATTCTCATGAGAAGGGAAAACAAAACCTAAGTTGGGATGATGACTTCACTTTTCCCCTTACTTTCCCATGGATCAGGAAACGATTTCTCATACCTGGACTTACCAAACATGGGAAAGCAATTGATTTCCCATTCCCAAGTCTCATTTTCTATGAACCAAACGGAGCCTAAATAATCGGATAGTGAAATCAATCGACCAATTTCTATTCTACCTAAATCCTTATCACATAAAATGTTGTCATGCATGATGCATTTTACACATCGGTGTCAATTATAAAATAATCTTTTAAGCAATTACAGACATTGACGAAAATGTCAATATTGGAAAATGTAAGTGAATTAGATATTTTATATGATTTATGTGGTCTTTTTTTTCCCTTCTTTCTATTCACCTTAACTTGTAGCAATGAGAGTTTGAATAAAATAAGTGTCCTATCACTCGAGTTGAAACTTTCTGTATGTCATTCACTTCTTCTTGTTTTCTTCTGAATTATAGCGATTGGGGAGGGGGGCACTTTTCGTGAGATTTGAACGGGTGACAAGGGGGAAAGGGGGAGGAACCTCACCACTGAGGTAAACCCCTCGGTCATATGTTATTCACTCTTAAACCTTCATGAAATTAATTTGCCACAAAGAAGGCAAATTATGAAAATAAAAAATAGCGTGGCACTTAGTACTTACTCACATACCAATATCTAAACATGTATATGGATTTTTAAAATAATTTTTGTAAATATCTCGAAGATAATTATTTTCAACCACTAAATAAAATAATTTGAAACATCCATTAATTCTTTGTTTTTTGGTGCATGAATACATCCATCTATTTCTTCAGTGTAGATTCATCGATATGCGCTTTTGTCCGATAGTTGGTTTGAAATTAACGTATGGTATTATGGTGACCGGAGAATTTTCATTATCTTGGACCATTAGAATATTCAAAATCCTGCTAATAGAATTATCGTTTTTAATGTAGTTTATTTTTGGGACTTTTTTTTATTGAAGGACGATAATATACTAAATTCACATACACTACACGAATGCTAGAATTCGAACCCAAAAAACTTGCATAGTAGAGCAATTACTCCAAACCACCGTATACTAGTGTGTCCCTTGCTAGTATAACTTTTTCTGTTTGGTAAATCTTTTTGAATTTGTTAAAGTTCGTTTCTCGTTCTAAATTTACATATATATATTTTTCTACCATAAAAAAATTCACTCCATTAATCTACTTCCAAGGGATCCAACCAAATTAGGAATCAAACAAAACATCTTTGTCTTCATAAGGAGAAGAGATGCCATGAGACTATAATCATCTAATTTTTGGTAAGCAGATTTGGTTGATATCATTTTATCATACGGATCTTGGACCAAAGTGCTCCTATGTTTCCATTCACCAGGAACCCAACAAAAACCAAGCCCATATTTTATCTTCATTATCAAACTTTGCATGAAACCCAACCATGCGCTTTGGGCCCTCCTATGTTTCCATTCACCAAGAACCCAACCCTTAATTCACCAAGCAACCAACCACATGACCTCGTCATTATCGTCCCCAATGGTAGCATCAATCACGGTGCGTCGGTGAGTGACCTGAGAATTCATACTTGTAACTTTACAGATTCGACGAGACAATTGATGTCATGCATACTTGTAAACAACCCATAATTTATCGATCATTCAAAGTGTAAAACTCAGAAAAATAATGCTATGTTAACATCACTCACACTCGAAATTCTAATAAATTTCCCCTCTTCATCCTCTACTTGGACAAAAAGGCATGGAGTGGACCGTTCTTGCACACGAAGTTATCCATACAAAACCTACGCACACATTACAAATTCGCTGACTGCCCACACGGTTTAGAAGATGACACAACACACACCATGAGACCAAATCAAGCTTTGTATATATTTCTTTCGACCATAAAAAAACTTTGTATGTATTTCTTCAAAAGAAAAAAAAGAAAAGAAATGCTAGTCGGTGGTTGACTTTTGACTCAGACACAGTTTCACTGCGTGTTAATTATATAGTTCTTATAACACACTCATACTATATATATAGATTTTCTCATATGCGGACGTTATTACGGTACATATATCAAATACGTAATATAAGATTCTGTTGCCTAACAAAATCAAAGTTTGGGTTGCAGCACACGTATGTATTTATATGCAGCATGCCCTTAATTTGTACTCGGTTTGATTGAAAAAGTCAGACTTCAAATATTTAGGCAATAGCTGCATGCTCTGAGTCTCTGGTTGTTGAACCGATGGCCAAATTTAACTGCATCATGCTTACCATAATCCCACAGGGCCTGTGATGAGATCATAAACCGACCATCGACCCACTATTAATCATTATCCCATTATTAGGTGCTTCATTATCTTTTACATATTTTGTTTTCTTTATAGTTTTTTATTTTATTTTCAAGAATATTAGGGTTTTGGAAACTTTGAGAAGAAAATGATAATGATCATCACGAAGTCAATGAAATATGCATAACTGCATACGATCTCAAGAATTTGATTTGTGTTTTGGTTGTCTGGTAAAAACCCATTTCCAAAGAGAAGGTAGGGGCAGTTGTAGTTTGATATTTGATTGAATATTAATTGTTGTCCATGTTATTCTAAATTCTAATTCTTGACCATTGAAAAATTAACATATAGTTTTCGTATTTGCTCACGTGATTATTATACGTTATATGTTTAGTGTGTGGATGCGTGAATGAGCACTGTTGTTAATCATCATCTAATAGGCAGTGTGGTAATATTTTAAAGACTCGATTAAAATTTGATGTTATGTATTAACTAATTAATTAAATAGGATTAACTAGGGGAAGTGGGCATTAATTTATCATGAGTAGCTGCCTTCATCTTTTGAGGGAGACATGGGTTGATCATTGCCTAGGGGAGGAGGCTTAGGGTTAGGGCAACAAGACTGTCTTCTTTATCACAAATTAGGATTAATTTTATTTGCTTCTAGTTGCTAAATGTTAGAATGTTAGTGGAGGCGCATCAAATTGTCTTAATTTTGATGTTAGACCACTCCGTTATTGTAATGATCTTTGTGGCTAGTAGCTTTTTTGACTGAATTATGCCTGCAATTCTAGAATTTTTATAATAATAAAAAATGCTAGCTGCACCTATGAGGTCCTGGTCACTAGTTGCAGATTATAAACTAGGTTTTCAAAACCAGAAAAATATATGAAATTACATATTGTATAAATTAAGGTTGCATTCATTGTGTTCAATTACTAGCTACCTATACCTATGAGACATTTGTCACTTTCAAAGGTGGCGGTGAGTACACACATTTGGTTAATTTGATGAGAAAAACGCTAAAAAAAACCTTATTTTTTACGCATTGACTTCAATTCAAACATCTTTTCCTATTATTTTTACTGATATGAAAGTCAAAGAAGGCCAACTTTTTATGAACCAAAACCAGCTTTAATAATCTCGTATTCTTGCTTTCCAACTTTCGAATGATAAAAAGCCAATGACATATTCTTTCTGGTCCCAAAAGACGACAATGCCCATTGACTTTCATGAAGTGACGACAGAAATAATGTCCCCCCACACCTTTAATCCCTCTTCCCTTGTGGCATCTTCTATTAATCAGTTTAAAAGAAGATTAACAAAGTCATTAGCTTAATGCTACGCTATGACACCTCAACCACCTTACAAGAGGACCCCACCTCTGATCTCGATAAGGTCAACATAAACAATCATGACCATCTATCTGATCTGCCCAGACTCCATAAAAACCAGATGGTTATCTAATTGGATTTATATTAATCTTTTGTGCTCACTTTCTTCCTTAGGGTGACGCATTCATGAGGGTTTGGTTATGCTTTTTTGGGGGAAAAATGCATTTTCTTCAAGGCCAATGTTCTGGAAGCTAAGCTCTATTGCAACTAGACCAACCCTTTTGTTTTTTTTCCTCACCAAGTCTAAATTCTAAACTACTAGGAAACTCAATTTCATACCTTATCTAGTGTGAAACAGCTGAATTTTTCTTTGTTTTTCTTGCGAAGTTTTCAATATACTAGCTGGATTGCTTTGGTTTTTTGGGGACCTTTTCTTCCTCTGCCGCTTTGTTAATTTCCAGAAAAGGATAATAAGGGTGCTAATGCTTTACAATCCATCATCCCACGCAATTACAGAAAACAAATGAGTCATTAAAAAACTAAAAGAATTCATTCTTAATTGTAAATTTTTTAAGAGTATAAGCGATAATTTAAACTAAAAGGGATGATGGTTTCTCACACACACAAACAAATAAGATGCTATGAGGGTTCGAAACTGAGACCTCTTGTCTGCAAGTTAATACCCTTTTTCATTGAGCTAGATCTCGTTAGCTCTTAATTGTAATTTTTAATTTTACATTCAAAAGCACACAATGTTCCTTTGTTTTTTTCTATTATTTTCAGCCTCATGCTTAAAAGTCAAGGGTCAAGGAGAGGGTAACCGTGTCATTTTAGTCTTAGAACCAACTATGTGGACTAAGGACTCATTGTCCCCATTTATAAAATAATAAAGTAATGCCTAAATCTGCAATCTATAAATATATAATAAGGTAGTAAAATTCCATGTTGTACAGATAGAGTGATGCAGAGAATGTCACAGAAACTATAGAAAATTTCAAAAGGGTTGATAGAAAGAAGTTGCAGACCTCTTTCTCTATGTTTGGTTTGGAGGGCAGTTGGTGATTTTGAATATTAGGCCTTGTCCTCTCCTTTAAAGTCTTCCATATCATTTCTCATTGGCACCATCTGTTCTCATTTCTTCTAACCAAATTCTTTCATTCTTCAAAAACCCAAAAACTTCACCCTAAAACAAGAAGAAGAAGAAGAAGAAGAAGAAGAAGAAGAAGAACAACAACAACAACAACAACAAAGTTGTGCAAACATTTCAGTCTGGGAAATCTTCACTAGTTTGAAGCATTTTCATTAAGAATGGCAGTCAAGAAACTCACATGGAGATCCATCGTCCCATATTGCTACAAGTCTGAGCGCCCATCATCAAAGGCTAGCAAGAAAGTGGTAGCAAAACAGACCTCATTCCAGAGGCTTTCTCTATCTGATTTGAGCAATCCAAGCTCAACATTTTCAGAGGACCTCTCCATATCTCTAGCAGGGTCTAATCTTCACATCTTTACACTTGGGGAGCTAAAGGTGATCACACAGAGCTTCTCCTCCAGCAACTTTCTCGGTGAAGGCGGGTTTGGACCGGTGCACAAAGGGTTCATTGATGACAAGCTTAGGCCTGGTTTGACAGCCCAGCCTGTGGCTGTCAAGCTCTTGGACTTGGATGGTTCTCAAGGCCATAGGGAGTGGCTGGTGAGTGCTTTTTGAACAATATTTTTTCATTATATTTACTTGGGTTTTCCATAAATCCTCTGTTTTGATGATACTGATTTCTTTCTCTACAGACTGAGGTGATCTTTCTTGGACAACTGAGGCATCCACACCTTGTGAAGCTGATAGGCTATTGCTGTGAAGATGAACATAGGCTACTGGTGTATGAATACATGCCAAGAGGCAGCTTAGAGAACCAGCTATTTAGAAGTATGTTTAACTTTCCATACAACTAAATTTGGCATTTTTAGAAGCTTTCAAATTTTCAGATAACTAATGTCTCTTTTCTTGTTGTACAGGATATTCAGTATCACTGCCATGGTCAACAAGAATGAAAATTGCGCTTGGAGCCGCAAAGGGCCTTGCCTTCCTCCATGAAGCAGAGAAACCAGTTATCTATCGTGACTTCAAAGCTTCAAACATCTTGTTGGACTCTGTAAGTATTAAACTAATCCGTTTACTTTTTTTTCCCAGGAGTAAATTTTTTTGTTCCTTTTGTTAATTAGTCAAAATGCTTATATTCTTTTAATTTCCAGGATTATACTCCCAAGCTCTCAGATTTTGGTCTAGCAAAAGATGGTCCAGAAGGAGATGACACACATGTTTCTACAAGAGTCATGGGCACACAAGGCTATGCTGCTCCTGAATACATCATGACAGGTACTTATTGTTCATACAATTTAAATTCAACCCAACTCAGATTAATCTTCAAAGACTTCATCAATCAAATTTGGATTAGTTTGCTAATTGAATTGTTTTCAGGTCACTTGACAGCAATGAGTGATGTGTATAGCTTTGGAGTGGTACTCTTGGAGCTTTTAACAGGAAGGAGATCTGTGGACAAGAACAGACCTCACAGAGAGCAGAACCTAGTAGAGTGGGCAAAGCCTATGCTGAATGAACCCCGAAAACTTAGCCGAATCATGGACCCGAGACTAGAAGGCCAATACTCCGAAATAGGGGCCAGAAAGGCTGCTGCATTGGCTTACCGATGCATCAGCCACCGGCCAAAACAAAGACCAAAAATCAGTGATGTGGTCAAGATCTTAGAGCCCCTCAAGGATTTTGATGACATTCCCATTGCCTTTGTGTATACAGTTCCTACCGAATCCGATTCGATTAAAGATGTAAAAGAAGGTGATGCACAGAAGGAATTGAAGAAGAAGAACAACCACCATCAGCAAAATCAAGGCCATAAGCATCATCAGCTAAGATCACCAAAGTCTCCACATTATTACTCAGACAATATGGTGCACCAAAACCATAGAAATAATGGTTTAAAATCTCCCCTGCACCAGAGGGGCAGGGGAATATAGAGTAGAGATTAGCATACATGTAAATCAATCATACCATTCAAATCCAGTGTAAAATGTAAATAGAGATATGTCAAAATTGCCTTGGCTGGCTGCATATGGTGTAAACTAACACCACTCTTGTGAGAGAGGACATGTTAATTTTCTGAAATTTTTGGGCCAACCACGATAGTTTTTTTTTTCTTTTCTTTTAACTTAAAAAACTTTATATTTTTGTATATTCATTTGGGTTTCCTTTTCAACAAAACAGACACACACAAAAAAGCCAAATTCAAAAAGTGGAGCAATCACAATTCACAATCTATGCTGAGCCAAAAGCAGATGGCCATTTTCAACACTGTCAAATACAGCTAAGCAGAGTGAATATATCCAAAACAACGCGGAGAAGAAAACTATGGAAGACTCATTGGTGAGGTGACATTGAAATGCATTTGTCATATTAAATAATTTAAATTCAACCCATAGTTTGATTTGCAAAAAATGACAAACACAAGGTGGCTATATGTGAATCAAGATTGGAGGCCAATGATTTGAACTAGGAACAAAAAACACTGCAAGTTTCCTTGTCCACTGGCCTCTGATCTTTACATGCATGATTTGCTTTCATGGATGCAAGACCAAACCTAGTGTGTATAACATAATAGGTATGAGCCTTAATGACCAATGACAATGAGCCATGCAATGGTTGGATTTTGGTGAATATTTTGTGGAAGTCCACTGTTGATGCATCATGAAGAATAAAGAATGTAATGGGGGAGGCTACAACAAGCGGCACTGGCAGTGGCAGCCTCCCAATAATTGAAGATCATCAGGTCACATTGGGATTGGGATGCCTCATATGTATGTAGTTTTTTATTTGGTCAATCAAAGGGATGCCTCAAATTGAACGTGCCTCATTCATCATCTTCTGCGGGCCTGCCCCCAGCCAAAAAATAACGCATGCTAACCCAAATGCAATCCCAAATTCAATTCTTAAAAGAGAAATCAGAGATATTGGTGGAGGGAAATTGAACTTAGGATTTATTATGCATGAATAAATATTCTTAATCACGTGAGTTATAAGTTCCTTGCACTAAGATTTAAGCTTATAATCTCATCCAACATGTCTCACGGGACTGGAAATGCCTCGTACCCCAAAAAATTTTGTCGCTTATTATTAGGAGGCCTATAGGCTTTTAAACGGCATGTTGTTTGTTGGGCCTGATGCTGGGCGGCTTAAAGGAAACACACAACACAAACACAAAGACGTGGTTGTGTTAAAGGAATCACACAACAGGTTATAAATAAATAATATGAGACACGAAATTAATCCAGCTCTGCAACTTCCTTGCCAACCCAACATATGAAATCTCCATGATTTCCTTTCATGCATGTAGACAAGGCCAAAGCCTTGGCTCTCATTTAGAATACAGAATTAGAGGGAATTTAGAATGTCAACCTTGATCCCTTGTTGTTGGAACCAGAAACTCAGGTGGAACAAAAACCCATCCAAATGCATCATAAAATTGATGCCGTACGTTGTATTACGGGGATAAGGGTGGGTGTGTTTTTATTTTTATTTTTATATTTATACGAGTGATAGTCTAAATTACTCAAAAATAATTTAATTTATGGAAAATGAGATGTTGAACTTATGTAAGGGTCTTAAGATAGTTTATATTCATCTTCATTCACCAACTGGAAATAGCTAGCTCATGTATGAAATGTTCAAGAGCTACCTGGATCATGAGGCCTAGGCCTTAGCACTAGGTGACTAACCCATTTTCTAATTATTCTTGTACCAGCTTAGCTATAAAATTGATGCCATTGACTTATTACAGAACCTCGGGCCTCGGCTGCCAATTCGCCTTTACTAATTATATGTGAACTTGATAATGTGCCAGCTTTAAGTTTCTTCTTTGTTCCATCAAGTAGGGAGGCTTGGTTTTAACAAAAAGAATAGAACTAGGCCTTCTCAATAAGATTGTAATTCGTTTTTATCAGTAAGGGACTGAGATATAAAGAAATTTAAGGGAAAAACAAATGTAACATGAAACAGAGGTTGCATTACTTGTGAGCTTCGTAAGCTTCAATGGCATCGAATCATCCGATTCACCATTTAACCAATTTGCATAAATTGGCCCTAGCAGTTATGTCCTTGTCCATTTTCATAATTGTAACATTGTGTAGGGCTCCATAATGAGCTGTGGTTTGTTGAATTTGTTCAGGCATCGTACTGTGACTGTCAAGTGTCCATGGCTCCACTCCAGCTATGTGGATTTAATCGTGAATGACCAGAAAATATGCAAGATTGGCATGAAGGGGTAATTTGCAACATGAAACAAACTTGGCAGGAGATAAATAATTAAAGGGGAAGTATATATGATAAAAATTGTCACACCAGATCTGGCATTGGCAATCATCTTAGACTGTAAAACGAGCATTAATGGCCGGAAGCTGGTTGATTAGTCCAACAGCCCACAAACACCACACATGTCATTAAGTCTCCCTAATCTCGAAACATACAGTTCATATATCCAGATGAGATTAATCTAACTCATTCTAGGAGAAGAGGCATAATGCAGAGACAGCGCAATCAACAAAGCAGTGCAAGTTACCATCACAAACATTCATACACAGTTTTATTGAGTAGGTACGACTAGTCCTATTTTTATAGAGAAGGTTCATAATACATATCCGGACACTCACCAAATAGATGAAAAAAGAAAAAAAAAAAAAAAAGCAAGCAAGGGAAACCATCAGATTCAATATCACTAGTAAAGATGGATTGGTAGCCGAGGTTCAACTACGGCAACAAGTGGGAACTTCCGAGGTGTTAACAATCCATAAACTTCCTCCATGCCCAAATCTTCTTTTTTCACGTTCTCAGACAATTTCCAATTGAACCCATGCAACATGTTGGCCAAGCAAGACCTTATCACTTTCAGTCCAAGACTATAACCAGGGCACATCCTCCTTCCTGAGCCAAATGGCAAGAACTCAAAACTCTGTCCCTTCACATCAATTGCCTTCCCTAAGAACCTCTCAGGCCTAAACTCATCTGGTGCATCCCACAGGGTGGGGTCTCTCCCCATGCTCCACGTGTTCACAAACACTAGAGTTCCTTTGCAAATATCATAGCCTGCCACATTGCAATCTTCAAGAGCTAGATGTGGTGGTAGCATTGCCACTACAGGGTGCTTCCTCATGGTCTCTTTCATAATTGCATCTATATACGGAAGGTTTTCGAGGTCTTTCTCTTCTACCCATCTCTCTCTCCCAATCACTCTGTCAAGCTCCTGTGTTGCCTTTTTGATGAGGTTTGGTTGTTTTATGAGTTCAGACATTGCCCACTCCAAAGTGGTTGCAGAAGTATCAGTGCCTCCTGCTACTGAGTCCTGGTTTTAATTTGAATGAACAAAGTGAATCATTTATGTTTATATCTTTAAGTTGTGTCTTTTTACAGAAATTCTCATATATCTAAGTATGCAAATGTTATAATGCTTATGTTTGCCCAAAGAGCATTACCCTAATGTTTGGAAATTAAATAAGAAATAATTTAAGAAGCTACCTGAGTGATAGCCTTGACACTGTCATAAGTGAGCTTAACTTCAAGATCATTAGGGTCATCAACCAGCCGCAACAGTAAATCCACCATATCCTCTGACACAAATTCCTCCACTCCTTCCTTCTTTGTCTTGTGTTCATCGAGCACGAACTCATAAAACCGGTCCAATTTTGTCGTTAAGGCCTTCATTCGCTTTACATACCCTTGCAAGTCTAAAAATTTAAGCCATGGTATCCAATCCCCTATGTTGAATACCCCGCTAAGCAAGAACAACTCATCCAATGTGTCCTGAAATTCTTTGAGTGACATTATCGAACTCTCAAATTTGGACACGCCAAAATACTCCTTACCAAACACAATTCTGCTCATAATACTAAGAGTTAGGCGTGATAGATGCTCTTTAAGCATGATTTGCTTGCCTGACAATGCATAGAGTCGCGACACAAAAGCGTGACTTTCCTCAACCCGAATGTACTCGAAAGACTCCAGTCTTCTTGAGCTAAATAGCTCGGAGAGGAAGATTTTCCGTCCTTGACGCCAATATGGACCATAAGGTGCCCAAGTGACATTGAGGTGGTCATAAGTGAGGTACTTGCCTGCTGCAGTTTGGGGTCTAGAGGCAAATATGTGATCATGTATCTTTAAAAACAGTTTTGCCATTTCTGGGGATGAGGCAATTACAACTGGGTAGGAGCCAAATTTGAGCTGCATTATTGGTCCATAAGTTTGGGACAATTTGTGAAAGGATTGATGAGGCAGAGGACCAATGAGGTTGAGGTTGCCAATTATAGGCCATGGTTTAGGACCTGGTGGATATTTCAGTTTGCGGAGTTGGGGGAAGAAATTTTTTGAGACAAGGGCTAGAGCAGCCAGGCATGCCAGGGTTAAAACAGCCCAAGAGAAAGCCTCCATTAATATGTGATTTGTGGCTGTAGTGGTGAGAAGTTGACTGAACTGCAGGTAATTTATAGTCCAAGTAAGTGGTTTGATTTGATATTTCTTAGTCGTTTTTTCCAATCTTAATAATGTTGTTTAATTAGTGTCTACAGTGGAATCACTTGGGTCAAATTAGTGGAGATCAACATCAGTTTTGAAAAATCCCTACTCTTAGATCCTCCCAAAATCTTTGCAGGCATTCGTGCTCCTCTTATGTGCGGATACTTCACCATCCATTTCTACTTTTGGGTATGGTGTCTATATTTTATGCATAAAATTTTGCTCTTTCTTTGCAGGCATTCGTGTTCCTCTTTCTTTGTTTACATAAACCCTTTATTTATTTATTTATGGATCAAATTTTGCACGAGATTATTATGTTTATAACACTCAAATGGATGGTGATGTAAGGACCACACAGCACACAAAGGTTTTGGAAGGATAATATATATATTTTAATACTGATGATGATCTCTTCAATAACTCAAATCAATTTAAAAAAGTTTAGAAATATCATAGCCCACATGCCTTGTCCATTTTCATAATTGTAACATTGTTCGGGCATCGTAAACAAACCACAGTACAATGTCTGAATAAATTAAACAAACCACTGCTCATTACGGAGCTCCCACATATGTTACACTTATGAGAATAGACAAGGACTCGACAGAATGCTAGGGCCAATTTATGCAGATTGGTTGAATGGTGCTGAATCAAATGATTTGATGTTATTGAAGTTTACGAAACACACAAGTAAAAGTAATGCAACCTCTACACCATCATGTTACATTTGCTTTTCCTTAGATTTATTTAGATCTCAGTTCCTGATTGAATCCATGTAACATGTTAGCCAAACAAGACCTTATCACATTCTCAGGTAATTTATAGTTGAATTAGGTATGAGCGCGATGATATTTATTAACCACTTTTTTATTTGACTCCGTGAGACAGGAATTACTTCAGTTAAGTCATCATCATCATTAAGTTGTTTAATTAGTGTCTACAGTGGAAGCACTTGGGTTAAATGAGTGGAGATCAATATCAGTCTTGAAAAATCCCTACTCTTAGATCCTCCCAAAATCTTTGCAGGCATTCGTGTTCCTCTTATGTGCTGAGACTTCACCATCCATTTCTACTTTTGGGTTATGGTGTCTGTATTTTATGCACACATTAATCTCGTTATAAATGGGTTTTCCATGGGCTTAAGTTATGTAATTTTAACTTTAATGTGTACAATAATATTTAGATAATCAGAACCTACGGCATACAACCTATTGATCTGTCAGTCTAAGTTTACTAAATCCGTACTCACTTAAGCATCGAAGAGCCTTTGGCCGGTACCACACCGGTGCCTAAGGTCTTACCGAACGTTTGTTATCTTGCAAATCACACGCTCCACAGAGACCCGAAGCATACCAAAGGCCCAACATCACTAAGTTGAGCCCAAAGAGTATCAATCCACTTTTTCGCATCAACATATTTGTTTCTGGTTTATTTGCCTTCCTGCTTTGAATGTTTTATTTGAGTTAAATACAAAAAATATATTTAAACAGTATAGCCGCGCGGCTATACGTCTTAAATTAAAAATATATTTAAAGAATATAGCTGAACGGCTATAACCCTTAAATAAAAACATATATTTAAAGCGTATTACTGGTTGGCTATACTCCTTAAATAAAAAATATATTTAACGAGTATAGCCGCCCGGCGATACTGCTTAAATAAAAATATATATATTTAAAGCATAGAATCCCTCAAGGATTTTGATGACATTCCCATTGCCTTTGTGTACACAGTTCCTACCGAATCCGATTCGATTGAAGATGTAAAAGAAGGTGATGCACATAAGGAATTGAAGAAGAAGAACAACCACCATCAGCAAAATCAAGGCCATAAGCATCATCAGCTAAGATCACCAAAGTCTCCACATTATTACTCAGACAATATGGTGCACCAAAACCATAGAAATAATGGTTTAAAATCTCCCCTGCACCAGAGGGGCAGGGGAATATAGAGTAGAGATTAGCATACATGTAAATCAATCATACCATTCAAATCCAGTGTAAAATGTAAATAGAGATATGTCAATATTGCCTTGGCTGGCTGCATATGGTGTAAACTAACACCACTCTTGTGAGAGAGGACATGTTAATTTTCTGAAATTTTTGGGCCAACCATGATAGTTTTTTTTTCTTTAAATTTAAAAAACTTTATATTTTTCAACAAAACAGAAAGAAAAAAGAGCCAAATTCAGGAAGTGGGGCAATCACAATTCACAATCTATGCTGAGCCAAAAGCAGATAGCCATTTTCAACACTGTCAAATACAGCTAAGCGGAGTGAATATATCCAAAACAACGCGGAGAAGAAAACTATATGGAAGACTCATTGGTGAGGTGACATTGAAATGCATTTGTCACATTAAATAATTTAAATTCAACCCATAGTTTGATTTGCGGAGTTGGGGGAAGAAATTTTTTGAGACAAGGGCTAGAGCAGCCAGGCATGCCAGGGTTAAAACAGCCCAAGAGAAAGCCTCCGTTAATATGTGATTTGTGGCTGTAGTGGTGAGAAGTTGACTGAACTGCAGGTAATTTATAGTCCAAGTAAGTGGTTTGATTTGATATTTCTTAGTCGTTTTTTCCAATCTTAATAATGTTGTTTAATTAGTGTCTACAGTGGAATCACTTGGGTCAAATTAGTGGAGATCAACATCAGTTTTGAAAAATCCCTACTCTTAGATCCTCCCAAAATCTTTGCAGGCATTCGTGTTCCTCTTATGTGCTGACACTTCATCCATTTCTACTTTGGGGTTCTGGTGTGTATATTTTATGCACACATTAATCTCGTTAAAAATGGGTTTTCCATGGCTTAAGTTATGTAATTTTAACTTTAATGTGTACACTAATATTTAGATAATCTTTGGACCAAAAAAATATTGGATAATCAAGCCTTTTGGGCTTTGGGCTAGTTGTTTATTTGTTTAATAGTAGGTTAAGGGCCAGGATTAAACAAAATTAAACCTTCAATGCTAACAAGAAAAGAAAAATAAAATTATGTTTGTGGAATTTAATCTGAAAATATTTTCTAAGTACGACGATACTAAATAAAACATTTCTTCGGAGAAGAATACAAAATAAAACATTTCTTTGAGAGACAATAAAAGAACTAGTTGAGCTACTCCTCAACATCGTAGCTAAGACGAGCATCTGAACAGCTTCCAACAGTGTCTTGGTATAACCAAAAACAAAAAAACAATAAGACTTGATAGAATTTTAGTGTGCATGATTAGAAAGTGCTCGCCAAATGTATTTGCTCGAGCTCTCTGATGAAGGGTAGCAAGGCCTGTAATTACATAACAGCTTGTTTGAAAAATAAATAAAAAGGCATCTAAAAGCAGATACATGTTGCTATTTGAATTTTGCTAATATATTTGTTTCTGGTTTATTTGCCTTCTTGCTTTGAATGTTTTATTTGAGTTAAATACAAAAAATATATTTAAACAGTATAGCCGCGCGGCTATACGTCTTAAATTAAAAATATAGTTAAAGAATATAGCGGCACGGCTATAATCCTTAAATAAAAACATATATTTAAAGTGTATAGCCGCACGGCTGTACCTCTTAAATAAGAATATATATACCTCTTACATAACAATCCAATATGAGATTTACATGTGTGGCTGTTGGGCACTCAATGAGCCTCTTTTTTTGCTTGCATGAGGATAAGGTTTTGTTTGCTTACATGAACCCTTTATTTATTTATTTTTGGATCAAATTTTGCACGAGATTATTATGTGAATAAAACACAAATGGACAGTGATGGATTTTTGGGAGGTTAGGGACCACACATCACATAAAGGTTTTGGGAGGATAATATATATATATATATATATATATTTTAATACTGATCACGATCTCTTCAATAACTCAAATAAATCTTGTCTCACTAAAGTAAACAAAAAATTTTTAGAAATATCATAGCCCCCACCACATGCCTCCTCCTCTCCTCCAACTACAAATTACAAGCAATATCAAATCAACACTGCACTACTCAACTTTCACACAATGGAGGCTTCTTCTTCCCTGGTTGTTTTAGCCCTTGCATTGCTAGCCGCTCTGGCCCTTCTCTCCAAAATTCTATTTGCCAAACGCCTAAAACTTCCACCAGGTCCAAAACCATGGCCTATAATTGGCAACCTCAATCTCCTTGGTCCTCTGCCTCATCAATCCCTACACAAATTGTCCCAAACTTATGGACCAATAATGCAGCTTAAGTTTGGCTCCTACCCAGTTGTTGTTGCCTCATCTCCAGAAATGACAAAACAATTTTTAAAGACACATGATCACATCTTTGCCTCTAGGCCTCAAACTGCTGCAGGCAAGTACCTCACTTATGACTACCTCAATGTCACCTGGGCACCTTATGGTCCATATTGGCGTCAAGGCCGCAAAATTTTTCTCACGGAGCTGTTTAGCTACAAAAGACTAGAGTCTTTTCGATACATTCGGGTTGAGGAAAATCGTGCTTTTGCTTCGCGACTCTATGCCTTGTCGGGGAAGGCAGTTGTGCTCAAAGAGCATCTGTCACGCCTAAATCTTAGCATTATGAGCAGAATTGTGTTGGGGAAGGAGTATTTTTGCTTGACCGACTTCGAGAGTTCGATAATGTCACTCAAAGAATTTGAGGACATGTTAGATGAGTTGTTCTTGCTTAGTGGGGTATCCAATATAGGGGATTGGATACCATGGCTTGATTTTTTGGACTTGCAAGGTTATGTAAAGCGAATGAAGGCCGTAAAGAAAAAAATGGACCGGTTTTATGAGTTTGTGCTCCATGAACACAAGGCCAGGAAGGAAGGAGTGAAGGAGTTTGTGGCAAAGGACATGGTGGATTTACTACTGCAGCTGGTTGATGATCCTAAGGATCTTGAAGTTAAGCTCACCTATGACAGTATCAAGGCATTCGCTCAGGTATATG